TCTGCTGCGTGCCCCGCGCGCCCCCCAACCGGCTCCGGATGCGCTTCTCGGTAAGCCAGGCCCACCGCTTCGCGAACAATGCTCCCTTTGGAGGGCCCGGAGGCCGCCTCCGGGCCCCTGTCCTACCCTCCTTCCCCACTTAGAGCCTGGAAACATTCGGGGCTTCCGATTGAATCCTTCAGTTTCCCGTGCCCGAAACCCCGCCTGGAGGCTGAACTGCCGGGGCAGACCTGGTGCTTTCCTCTGCCTTCTGGAGAAAGATGCGAGCTTGACATGCAGGCTGGAGACCTGTCTGGTCTAGATAATGGCATGTGTATGCAGCTGGGTTCAGACTTAGCATTTGCGGGCAACAACTCTTACTTAGTGGGTGTCCAGGCCGTGCCGGGCAGTGCGCCTCAAAACCGCTCTGGGAAATAGGTTCCTGTTTCTCCTTGGCCCCGATGAGGAAACTGAGGCTCAGAGAGGTTGAATGACTTAATCAAGGTCACAAGGTTAGGAAGTGGGAGACCAGGATTGGAAACCAGGGTACTCTACTTCCCTGCCAGACTGTTCCCTTTGTAACAAACACACCTGTCTCATTTCTTCTACTGACTGCTTCCGTCTCAAGAGTCATTGCATGTGTGTGAAAATACTTGCTCCAATGAGCATCTGTTCTGATGAAACAAATTGCCGGTAGCATGCACTTTTTGTTCATCCTGCCATCACGTTGCTGCCAGCCCCTAATGTATACTCCAAGTGTAAAGCTGGGGTTCTGTTTTCCCAGTCCTCTTGAAGGATGGAAAGGACAGTGGTTCCTCCTGTGTGCCCAGCACATGCTAGGCCTCAGAACTGCATCCTAAACCTTTCCCTGGGGGCAGGGCTCATCAAGGTTACCTGCCCCTGGTTTTGTAAATCTTGGAGATGGTTACTTAACAGGAGCGGAGGCTGATCCCAGACGGCCACTGTGCAGGGGCTGGCCCAGTGTTGGCTCATATTTGCCAGCCCTCAGTGTCAGCAGAACTTCACACTTCTGAGCCCAAAAGAAAAGGAGTTTTAATGCAGATCCGATGCCTGATGCATGCCCCCAGTTCTCTGGCTTGCCACTGTTAACTGTTTGCTTAAGTGCATTTAGTTCAGTCCTGAAGTGGGAAGCCACATGGAATCAATTGGTCCTGGTCTGAGGGGCTTGTTCCAATGGTGGAGTCACAGTGTTGAGCTCAGCTGTCTACACGTACATTTGTGTTGGTGCAGAGCAAGTCCCTTAGCAGTAGGGGCCTCTGTGTCTTGGTTAGTAAAGAGCAAAGCAACTGTGGACTGACCGGCCCCTCAGACCCCCTTCAACTAAGTGATTCTATGAGTGAAAGAACTAATAAGTTACAGGCTTGAACTAGGGTGTCTTAGTCCAGTGATTTGGACAAACGTTCTACACTGAATGGGTTGTTGATTTCCAAGAAGAGTACATGGTTTCCAGGGAGCTGCGAGATTCAGGTTCAGACCCAAAGAGGTGAAGCTGAAGCTGTGCCTAATAGATTATTTATTGGGCTAACACATAGTGGCTATAAAATGTTCCAAGCTACCAGATTGGGGTTATGGGACAGGTTAGGCCTTTCAGTAGGAGAGATGACATTAACTCCTAAGAACTGATGACATACAATGCATTAACAAGATGCCCAGCAGGCTAGAAAGCAGCAAGCTGGTGAGCTTTTCCTGCCCCTCCCAAAAAGAATCAATCATATTTGCATAAGTAAAACATTCCCAATGCAAACAATTACTGCAAATAAATAAAGTGATTTTTTTTTTTAGACTATCCCAACTCCATTGTTTGCTGAGTATATTAGTGATGCCTGGAGCCTGCCTGAGCTTGGCTGTAGAGGGGCCGGGACAGGGAAGGTGGGCCGCAAGGGTGTTCAGACTCTGAGTTAGTTTTTGGCTGTGGGTTAGAGCTAAATCCATCACTTTGACCTATGGGCTGTTAATGGGGTTGTCATGGGTCTTTTTAAGATGTGGATTAATGAACCTCTTAAAGTGTTGCAGAATCCCAAATGAAACGGGCGTGTCCCACCTTTTTCCCAGAAACTCAGCTCTCAGCGGGTTTTGTGACTGTTTTAAATTCACAAAACCAGAGCAAAGCTTTCATTTTTGACAGGCTCATACGGTCTGCAAAGGAAAAATAATGCATCTTGTGTGGGGATATTAATCTCCTAGCATTGTGTGTTTTAGCTTCTCATGATTAACTGGTAAGGTTTTGAATAAAAATGAATGCAGAGAAACAATCTTCATTAAGTTGCTTTTGAAAATGCTGAGGTAATTATGAAATAACGATTTTTGTGTCATAGATCGTACTACTCAGAGCCAAAGCTGGATTACATCACAAAACATTACTCTTGCTACTGATATTTATTTTTTAATTCCTTAGTTTTCTCCTATTTTTTGCTTTTTTTCTCCCAGTGTGAAAATAAGCAATCAAGAATAAATTTTTCCTTTCCAGTTTTTCTTTGTCTTAAACCTAGGGTTTTTTGTTTTTTTTTTTCTGTGAGATCCCTAAAGCTGAACTCTGCCACACCATGCATATAATGGCCTCATGTTAAAATATGTTTTAAGGGCCTCGGATTTCTTTTGGGAGAACAAGAGGGTTATGTGTAATAAGTAAATAACAACCATGAGACATTTCCCTTGTTTGCTTACTATTCTAAGTCAGGGGTTGAGACCATGCCCTCATGATTGCAGCAGCCAACTTAGCATCCTGAGGACACAGCCCGAGTGCTGTGGCATTTCTGCCTCAGTGAAGATGCACAGCTGGACTGATCGGAGTGTAGAGGAAAAGAACAGCTTCCAAAGGCCAGGAAACCTGGAATTTATTCCTGACTCAGTTGTTAATTGGCTTTGTGGCCATGGACAAATTATTTCAATTTGCTGGATCTGGGTTTATATATATGCAATGGGTGTGTACGTTTGCATGTATATGTGTGTGTATTGGTACCAGACATCACCCTCCAACTCTAAGTTTGAAGAATCCTCAAAATTTGGAGATAGCTGGTTATTAATAGCTCCAGAATGCTCCATACTTTAAGGTTACATAACATCCCAATTAGATATTCTTATAAACAATAAGAAATTGGTGATTATCAAAGATATGCTGTTTATTACCCTAAGTGGAGACTCCGCACCCTGAATGTGTGAAGGAGGATGGAGCTTTGATCTTAAAGGTGATTATGCCGGCTTCCCTATCAGAGTCCCCTTGCATGGTAGAGGCTCAGCACAAATCTGAGAGCACTAGAATGAGCATGACCGTCTCTAGGATCCATGTGGCAGAAGATGCAAGAACCATTATGTAATTTGGGTCAATGGGGTAAGAAGACTATGACATTCTATCTGTGTAGCTTTAGGGTTCAGGAAACTTGAAGATTTCACCTCAATCTCAGGCTGTTCCTGGAAGGTAAGGAGGGGAAGTATGGAATTACTGTTTGCAGTTGTTTTGAAAATGGAGAGTACTTTAGTTAGAGCCTTGAACTCAGCTGAAGCTGGGAAATGGTGAGGAAGAAGTGTCTATTTGGCTGGTATTTTTGCCAGGTTTTGTGTGCAGGCTTCCTTGTAACATCTAAGAAAGTGTGTTGTCTGAGGTCAGTCTCCCTGGCGAAGCTGCAGTCATTTTCAGATAGAGAGGGCACGAGAAAGGAGCCACCAGCCCTTAAACATTTTGTCCTTGCAACTCTGCAAAGTAGATATTATGAACCCCGTGTTCTAGATGAGGAACCCAGGCTCAGAGAGCTGAAGTGTCTTTCTCAGTCTCTAATAATTATCGAATGGCAGAACCAAGCAATGTTTTAAATGGACTCTGCTGGGGTTTAAATCAATCCGTGCTGGACCTCATTTCCGCTGTTGCTGCAGTGTGTCTGTCTGGCAACCAAATTGTGTCCTTCCTCCCCAGTTTCCAGATAACCACGGCACTAAAAAAAAGCATGCAGATGATTTGACAGAAGTAACATATAGAGGTGATTTTGCTGTCAATAAACCTCTAAATTCACCAGGATTTTTGTTAGTACATTAGATTTCTTGTAACTACACGATGTCAAACGTGTCCATTTCCAGAAAGATCCCTAAATAAGCCAAGTGTAACCCTAAAAGGGTTAGTGCTGGTGATTCTTTGGGAAAAGCTAAAAGAATTCCTCTGTGTCCCACACTCATCCCCCTGGGGTTCTGTGGGAAGTGAACACGAACTGACATATGCAACATCAGTCTGAGAAATTGTCGCTAGGCTGTACCTCCTGAAAAAGGGACACAATAAAAGTTATATAACAGAAGCTTTCAAAAGAACTGTTTCTCCTCCAGGATGCCCATGAGTTAATCCTCCCCCAAACAACAGACTAGAGAAGGTATTCAGAGGAACATATGTAAGACCTTCACGGTTCACCTGCAGCTCTTAGGAGTTTCTGGGACTCGGGAGGAAAGGTAGGTGTCAAAGAACTTTTCACATTACGGAGTAGAGGTGCTGTCGTAGCTGATATTGGGGACGGCCTTCGGAAGGTCACCCCTGTGAGTATAGCAGCTGCTGTTCTTCGTTGTAAGTGTGTAGAGCTGGCCAAGCATCCACCATTCCCAGGACTGGAGATTCCAGGGTCCTGTCTGTAACACTCAATTTACAAAGAGCAAAGGAAAATCCCTGAAATACTCTGTCGTCCCATCGCGTGGCTTTACATTCTGGTAATGATACTCAGGCTGGGTTTCTTCACCAGCAGTTGAAAATGCTTCCGTCTCTGACGCTGGCCTTGCCTGTGTCATGCGAGTGACATCTTCACCAATAGACCCCTCCTTCATCTTCCTTGGATCACTGAGCTACTTATATGACAAAAGCTTCAAGTTTCTTGATAGGTGATGAATGAGGAAAAGCAGACAGAATGAGTTAGAAAGCTTGACTATGCTTCATCTACAATCTGCAAAATACTGACCACATCTCAGCAGTCAACACAAGTTTTTGATTTGGTAAATGAGGAATAACATTGCGTGTCCTCAGTGTGGCCCATGGAATCTGCATCTTCTGCCCCCAAACTTTGAGAGAACAGGTGCCCCGTGG